TCATAAAAGGAGCTGAAAAGGTTTTCACGAGAGTCTGTTCATTGTGCTCAACAAGTACTCAGCGCTGCATTAAGTTGAGACTACAGATACATTGTTCTTCAGTACTGTTAATTATTTCATTCATCTAATTTTAGATCAATTACACGTTCTGTAATTTTTTGGCCACTTGGCGGCAGCAGAAACAAGTTGAGATTATCACTTGATAGAAGTTGATTTAGTTGAAACTATCACTTATTTACACATACGGCAGTTAGAGAGCGACTTTATCATTCATGTTTATGTCCATGTGATTAATGTGAGTCCAGTATTTCAACTGTGTTTGGTCTCAAATCCTGAGGGGAATATCTGGCTCTTATTAAATGCTCCACTACGTCCAGCTATAGTCACTAATTGTGTAGAGGTAGAGTACGGTGGGATGTTAGAAACAGCTGCTTGCTGTGGCAGAAAACGACCCTAAGGGGGCGGTAAGGGTCCTAAACAATCTCACATAAACAAAGGACACACAGGCCTATCGCATTAGGGTTCAAACCCCAATCTGCAGATCTTTATGTTATTATAGCATCTTTAAAAGTATTGTGAACACATAAAGGTTTTTTGTGTGGAAAAATGAGAAAATATCAATTGAAACGTGTCTAATTTCATCCAGTTTACCCAAAATATTACCATTTTGAAATCCTAAACCTGGTGGCTTTAACAGTAGCTAAACAATCACATTACCACTGAGGTCATATTTCTTGACAATGTCAGTCGAATACTGACTGCCCTTCTTACTCTGGCGAGGCCACCAAGTCATGACGAAAACAACTATTATATTTCTACTATCTACACCAGTCACTTGTTTACTTTTCCAACGAGTCAAACTACGTCATTCGTCCCTCTAGAACGACACAGGGTTTTCTGATCTGATGTTCTCGTGCCTGACGCTGGCTGACGGGGCCTCAAGGACAAAACACAGCTTTATTTTCAAAGTGTAACTGGATTATTGTGGCTAACGTCCAGATACGGCACTTGTGGGATGACGAGAGCATCACATTTTGAAACGGGGTTAATATGTGGGGCAGAAAACAAAAACAATTAGCTGAATCAGCATGAGGATGCAAAGCTTGGTTATCATAACCTCTTTCACCTTAAACAGGGAAAAAACAGCGTCTAAAATAGGTTTAAGTCCAGTAGAAATCTGATGTATTGATTCAGGAAACTGTTTACTTCTGGAGACGTTTGAGGGCCTCAGACTTCCACGTTGAACCACACAGCCTACTGTATCTATATACATATCTAATATTATACATTAATATTATACATCTAATATTACTATACCCGTCTGAGAGTGAACGCCAGTACAGTGCATCAACACATAAATAAAGCAGCGATGGTTAAGTGAGGACCTACCAGACAGACAGACTGATAAGTTAAAAAGCAATAGTCTGCAGTGCACTTAACCACACACACACACACACACACACACACACACAGACAGTTTTAAGAAAAGACACACACTCATAGACAGAATCTCTCCGTCTCTCTCAAACATTTATCAATGAACTATAAAAATAGGTTAACTCCAACGGCCTCAGTGAATAGGAACTTACATAAACGCACACGTCACTGAATTACATCACACGCACACACACACCATCATCCTGCCTGTCTGTGTGTGTGTGTGTGTGTGAATGGGGGTAGGGCTTTTTGCATAAGCGTGTGTGTGTGTGTGTG